CTTGCTACTGGATGGACATAGAGCAGCTCTCACGGCTGATTTCAAATCCTCATTCGAGTCTCTGACATCTACCCATGACAGCATACATTCCACTATCAGCGTATACATTCTCTGGAAGCTAATGCTAATGAAGTCGACCAACGTCTCCATCAACTTGAGGACGCATGCTCCGCTCTGAAGGGGGACAACGAGACACTCAAAACTAAGGTAGCCGATTTGGAGGGACGCAGCAGACGCCAAAATCTTCAGATTATTGGCCTACCTGAATCTATCGAAGGTCTCCGTCCATCTGCCTTCTTCTCTCAACTCCTCGTTGATATCCTCGGCACCGAGATTCTTGCTTCACCCCCCGAGCTTGACCGAGCTCACCGGAGCCTCGCGCCCAAGCCTGCCCCAGAACGGAGACCGAGATCTGTCATCCTGCGCTTCCACCGCTTCCAAATTAAGGAATTAGTGATCCGTGAGGCCCGCAGGCAGGGTGAGCTGAACTACAAAGGCCATAAGATCCGCTTGTATGATGACTACAGCCCCGACGTGTTAAAGCAGCGCGCCGAGTACAGAAGCCCCATGGCTGAGCTGTACAAGCGCGGGTACAAGCCGGCTCTCCTCTTCCCAGCCAAGCTGCGCATCACCCTGCCTAACGGGGACCGGACATGGCTCATGTCTGCTCCAGAGGCCGTCAAGTTTGTTCAGGACTTGAACATAGCTCCGTAAGCAAGCTAACTGTCATGTAGTTACTCTGTGTTATATAACTGCTCTAGATGTACTTTAACTGTCAATTCAGACGTACATTGATGCAGTCATATTCTGCTGTTAGGTTAACATTGTCTTTTTAGGCATATGTCCGGCAGGTTGCTGTAATGGCAAGGCTTAAGTGCTCTAAATATTCTGTTAAACCAGATGCAAATTCCTTGAAGTGCTCTGTTTGAGGTATTTAAAAAAGGTTACATTTTCACTGTTAAAGTTCAATTATACATTGTTGTGGGAATTGAGCGATAGAATTAAGAATTAAGGAAGTAGCAAGGTATGCTGATCACGGTATCAGAGTGTTTGTTGTTGTTTGTTTTTGCAACAACTGTGCTGGGATCCGGGTTAAGGGGAGGGGTGGGGGGGATAATTGTTTGTCCAATGTTTTTTCAGTTAGGTTTTTATTATATTGTTTATTTCATGTTATCTTATCCTTTGCCTGTGGGCTGCTTCTACACTTAATATACTAAACTCGGTCTCACGCCACACCTTTTCTCTCCCTGTTGCTTGTCAGCGGGGGAGAGGTGCCAGGTATGGGGACAGGGACATGCAGGTACACCACCTGCCCAGTATCATTGTATGCTAAACTCTAACTCCTTAACAGCACCAAGTGGTGCTTTAAGATTTACTAGTTGGAATGTCAGGGGCCTGAATTCTTCTGTGAAACGTAACAATGTGATTAACCATCTAAAACATTTAAACACAAAATTGCCTTTTTGCAAGAAACCCACCTCCAACCATCAGACCATCTTAAACTTTGCAGAGGGTGGGTGGGCCAGCTTTACCATTCTTCCTTTTCAAGTAAGGCCCGAGGCGTTGCAATTCTTGTTCATAAATCTGTCCCATTCTCTGTGTCCAATGTTATATCAGACCTAAGTGGCCGTTTTATTATCGCAACTGGCAAAATATGTGGCAACAATCTGACGTTGGCGAACGTGTATGGCCCGAATTTTGACAACGAGGACTTTTTCAGAAATGTTATTTTCTCCATTCCTGACATAAATTCCAGCCAGCTCATTCTGGGAGGGGATTTTAACTGTTGTATTGATCCTTCACTTGACCGTTCATCTAACAAGCCCTCTGCCCCATCTAAATCTTCCAAAGTTATCCAACTGTTCATGGAGCAATACGCAGTCTCAGATGTCTGGCGCTTTTTTAATCCTAGTGCCAAGCAGTTCTCTTTCTTTTCTCCTGTTCATGGTACTTTCTCCCGAATTGATTTCTTTCTTATTGATAACAAATTGCTCCCCTCTGTTAGCTCGTGCTCATACAGCCCTATAGTTATATCGGACCACGCAACTGTCATTGTTGACATCTCTCTTCCCGGCAGGTCCTTGTCACGTTCCCCCTGGCGCTTCAATTCACTACTACTTTCTGACCCGGATTTTATCAAAACTATTAGGAATCGCATTGACCTTTTTATTTGCACTAATGTTAACCCGGCTGTATCTGCAGCAACAATTTGGGAAGCGTGCAAGGCCTATCTAAGAGGAGAAATAATATCCTATTGCGCTTACCAAAGAAAAATCAACACTGAGAAGAGTATCTGCCTTTCCAGGGCTTTATCGGATCTGCAGACAAGATGTGTAGACTCCCCCAGTGCAGGTATTCTCAAAGAATTACTGACAAAAAAGGCTGAATTTGACATTTTGGCCTCAGAAGAGGCAACAAAATCACTTTTAAAAACACGCCACAATTACTATGAATTCGGAGATAAACCGAGCAAAATACTTGCCCACCAAATTCGACAATCCTCTTCCTCTCAGCACATCACTCAAATTAATACTGCTGATGGAATATCTATTAATCCTCAAACCATTAATGACCAATTCAAGGACTTTTATAGTTCATTATATACTTCTGAGAGCTCATCTGATGAGACACAATATGACAACTTCTTTAGGTCCCTAAACATCCCCTCCATTGACCCTGAAACATCGTCTGGGTTAGATGAACCCTTCACAGTTAATGAAATCAAAGCTGCTCTAATGTCGATGCAGAGTGTGAAGTGTCCAGGCCATGATGGCTTCCCTGCTGAATTTTTAAAAATGTTTTCTGATAAGTTAACCCCTCTATTGCTTAACATGTTTAATGAATCGTTTCCAATCTGGCACACTTCCCCCTACGCTACGTCAGGCTACTATTTCTCTTATACTGAAAAAGGACAAGGATCCTCTTCTTTGTGGTAATTTCCGCCCTATATCTTTGCTTTGTGCTGACGTCAAGCTTTTAGCTAAGGTGCTAGCAAAACATTTAGAATCTGTTCTGACTACTATCATCTCCACAGATCAAACAGGGTTTGCTAAAGACAGACACTCTTTTCACAATGTCAGACGGCTATTTGACATATTATATTCACCCTCTTCTCCTGATTCCCCGGAAATTATTATTTCAATGGACGCTGAGAAAGCTTTTGACCGGGTAGAATGGCCTTATTTATTTCACACATTGAGAAGATTTGGGTTTGGCGACACATTTATTTCATGGATTAGGCTTCTATATACATCCCCCCTGGCTTGCGTCCGCACAAATAATGATTATTCTGATTATTTTCCCCTCAAGCGTGGAACTCGGCAGGGTTGTCCACTTTCTCCTCTTTTGTTTGCCATTGAGCCGCTGGCGGTGGCCCTCAGGTTCAGTCAGATGCAGGGCATCTCAAGGGGGGGAGTTGAGCATAAACTCTCCTTTTATGCTGACGACCTTCTGCTATTCATCTCGGACCCAGACAAATCTATTCCTCCAGGCTGTGCTGAGGGAGTTTGGGCAGATTTCGGGTTATAAGTTAAATGTTAACAAAAGTGAACTGCTTTCCATTAACGCTGCAGCTACAGCCTACCCCCTTTCAAAGTTACCGTTTACGACATCTCTGGCAAGTTTTAAGTATCTGGGCGTTTGCGTGACCAAGAGCTTCTCAGATTTTTTTAGGTGCAATTTCTCCACTCTGTTGGTTCGACTGACTCAAGACCTCCAACTCTCTCCTACCTCTATCTCTGGCTGGCAGAATAAATTGCATTAAAATGAATGTGCTCCCCAAATGTCTATATCTTTTTCAGTGTATACCAGTTTTCATTCCGAGACTTTTCTTCCATTCACTCGATCGCTCAATTTCTCAGTTTATATGGAACAAGAAAACACCCAGAATTCGAAAAAACATTCTTCAAAAAACCAAGGAAATGGGTGGCTTAGCATTGCCTAACTTTTTATTTTACTATTGGGCCGCTAACATTCAAACTTTATTGTCCTGGCGTTGTATTAACAAACAACCTCCACCGTGGCTGCAGATTGAGGATGCCTCATGTGGCTCTTCTTCTCTGACGTCCCTCTTGTGCCTCCCCCTGACGTTACCATCCTCAAAATACTCCAAAAATATTGTAGTTCAAAACTGTCTCAAGATCTGGACTCAACTTAAACGGCACTTTGGGTTCCAGGGAATACCTCTACTGTCCCCTGTGCATTCCAATCCGCTGTTCACTCCCTCCATCACTGATGCTGCCTTTTCAATATGGGAGATCAATGGGATTGTGTCTGTAAAACAACTTTACATTGATGGAACATTTGCATCTTTTGATCAGCTGGCCCGTAAATTCAATCTACCCAAGTCCCACTTCTTTAGATATTTACAAGTCCGAGATTTTATTCGTAATCGTTTTCCAAGTTTCCCTGCCATTCCTCCTTCTACCTGGGTTGACACTATCTTAAGTATTAACCCTAACCTCAAGGGTACCATTTCAAAGCTATACAATACTCTTTTCACATGCCACCCTCTGCCCTCTGATAACTTTCGAACTAATTGGTCAGAGGACCTCAATATAGAGATAGGGACTGAGGTTTGGCAGTCTATTTTGAAACGTGTCCACACATCATCCATTTGTGCCCGCCACGGGGTTTTACAATGTAAAGTGGTCCATAGAGTGCACTGGTCCAAAAGTAAACTAGCTCGCATCTATCCTGGTACTGATCCTAACTGTGATAAATGTCACCTAGGACCAGCTAATCTCGCCCACATGTTTTGGACTTGCCCCACCCTATCTCAGTTTTGGAAGTCTGTCTTTGACTCACTCTCAGCTATCACGTCTGTTACCATCCATCCCTCACCCTTAATTGGCCTGTTTGGTGTCTTACCCGTTAACCATTTACTTCCATCCTATTTCGCTGAACTTGTAGCTTTCCTCACATTGTTGGCTTGGCGCGTTATTTTGATGCATTGGAAGAGTCCTCGTCCCCCCTCTCATACACATTGGATAAAGGATGCCCTATACTTTGTGAAATTGGAAAAAATTAAACACTATTAGGGGCTCAGACTTGAAGCTCACAAAAATATGGCTACCCTTCTTAGAACATATTAAGTCCCTACAGTTGGAGTCTGTCCCCATTGGCTGAGTCGCCCCCCCCCCTGTACCGCAACAGCTCACAGGTATGCTCACAAAATGTCTCGCAGGTTTTTATTTTAATTTTTTTTATTCTTTTCCTTTTTGTTTTGTTTTATTTTATTTTATTTATTTTTTATTATTATTATTCTTTTATTTTATTTCATTATTACATTATTGTCTAATTGTAACTGATGTATTGTGTCTTGGGGTTGTTTTGTTAGAAATCGCAGGGGTAATGCATTGTATTGCTGCCGTCTTTGTGTATTGAAAATCACAAAAATAAATCATATATAAAAATAAATTAAAAAAGCATCAATTCATGGTTTTTACTAACCGGTATCAGTGTGTTGTTACTTCGGCATCATTTTGAAACGTGTATTACAATTAAATCACGGTCAAATATGTTCATCTTGTTGTAGTGGTAGCCCCCTTGCCAGCGATTCTCTCTCTAGTTTAGCATACTCAGCCCGACTCAGCCTGGTTGTTGGCCCGCTAAGAACCTCGATTTTGGAGAGCCATAAAACTGTGAAAAAGTACCCGCTAGCTGGAACTACACCGAGTGGAAACGCAACCAAAAACGGGCCGGGCACGGCACGCTTAAACCGCGCTGTAGTGGAAATGCGCCAATAGAATAGACTGTATAACACTTGAGCTCTGCCTCAACCCTAAACATTAATCAATGCAAAAATTGGTCTTTTGTTTACTTATACTTTTCCAGAAGTCATTTAACAACATTTTATTATCTGGCTCCTCTTGCAGAATCAACAGTTTTTCCAGATGTTGATTTTTAAGTCTCTCTTTTTTTAATTGTCTTATTTTCCATTTCATTTATTTCACTTTATTTAGCGTGTTAATGTTTATGAAAGGCACTTTGAATTTCCTTTGTGTCTGAAAGTGCTTTTTGAAAACATCAACCGTAAACTATTTATTAACTAGTTTACTATGAGAACAGTCTCACCTTCCTTCTTGTAGAACACCAGCTCCGTCTTGAACTCCTTCCTCAAAAAGTCAGAGGTGTTTGGAATATTATGTTTATTTATCCATGGAAATGTGGCTTTAAATCTATTTTGAGGACACTTGTTAGCACTTGAATCCCAACACACACTGCTGCTCTCTCACCTTCCTTCTTGTAGAACACCAGCTCAGTTTTGAACTCCTTCCTCTCGTCCAGCGCTCCCTGGATCTCAGCTGTTTGCTTGTCGCTGGTTTCCTGTCCGTACAGGAAGTGGCAGGCGCAGCTCTTCTGCATGAGCTCGGCCCGGGCGAATCCGGTGAGCTCGCAGAATCCATCGGAGCAGTAAACGATGGGGTAGAGCGCCTGAACCTGAGCGTTCCCCAGCACGAAGTTACTGTCTGTGAGGAGAGGAAAGAGAGAGGAAAACACCGTCAGGTCAAATCAAATCGGAACGACAGTAAATGAAACAGTAAACAATGTAAACGTCCCCTCTATGGGACTAATACAGGTATTCTGATTCTGAGTAACAGCTGGTCCATTGAAGGATCAAATAATGTACCAAGGTTCAGGCAGAAACAGGAAGCATGATCCTCTGTTTACCTGCTTTTTTTGTGTGTGTGTGTGTGTGTGTGTGTGTGTGTGTGTGTGTGTGTGTGTGTGTTTACCAAGTGGAACATGTTTCCAGTGCATACTCAGTAACTAGCCCGAGGCATGTAGATGTGTGAACTCTCTAAACTGAACTCTTTATGATATTTTAGCTCAGGCGTTCTCACTGATCCATCACTTTGAAAGACCTCCAGACCTCCTTGTTTAATATTTCATAGTCTCACACTGATGTGTAAAGTGTGTGTGTGTGTGTGTGTGTGTGTGTGTGTGCGCGTGTGTGTGTGTCTGTGTGTGCATGTGTCTGTGTGTGTCCTAGCATTACTATACTTGTGGGGACCTAAATCTGTCTACACATTCACGTGTGGGGACTGGCCTCCCTTATGGGGACACAATTGAGGTCCCCATGAGGGGAATCATTCATTTTAGGGTGAAGACTTGGTTAGGGTTAGGGTTAGGCATGTGTTGCTTATGGTTAAGGTTAGGATAAGTCTCCAGGAAATGCATGTAAGTCAATGTAATGTCCCCTGAAGTGATGTATACATGGTATGTGTGTGTGTGTGTGTGTGTGTGTGTGTGTGTGTGTGTGTGTGTGTGTGTGTGTGTGTGCGCGTGTGTGTGTCTGTGTGTGCATGTGTCTGTGTGTGTCCTAGCATTACTATACTTGTGGGGACCTAAATCTGTCTACACAGTCACGTGTGGGGACTCGCCTCCCTTATGGGGAGAAAATTGAGGTCCCCATGAGGGGAATCATTAATTTTAGGGTGAAGACTTGGTTAGGGTTAGGGTTAGGTTAAGGGTTAGGGTTAGGGTTAGGCATGTGTTGGTTATGGTTAAGGTTAGGATAAGTCTCCAGGAAATGCATGTAAGTCAATGTAATGTCCCCTGAAGTGATGTATACATGGTATGTGTGTGTGTGTGTGTGTGTGTGTGTGTGTGTGTGTGTGTGTGTGCGCGTGTGTGTGTCTGTGTGTGCATGTGTCTGTGTGTGTCCTAGCATTACTATACTTGTGGGGACCTAAATCTGTCTACACAGTCACGTGTGGGGACTCGCCTCCCTTATGGGGAGAAAATTGAGGTCCCCATGAGGGGAATCATTAATTTTAGGGTGAAGACTTGGTGAGGGTTAGGGTTAGGGTTAGGCATGTGTTGGTTATGGTTAAGGTTAGGATAAGTCTCCAGGAAATGCATGTAAGTCAATGTAATGTCCCCTGAAGTGATGTATACATGGTATGTGTGTGTGTGTGTGTGTGTGTGTGTGTGTGTGTGTGTGTGTGTGTGTGTGTGTGTGTGTGTGTGTGTGTGTGTGTGTGTGTGTGTGTGTGTGTGTGTTGCATTGTCTGTGTTGCATCAACCCTTTTTGAGTGACAGCTTGAAAGTGTTCGGATCTTACTGGAAAGGAAAGATACATGTCTCTGTGATTTTATTTCAGAATCAGAATTCCTGTGTGAAAATCTCAACAGAAATATATTTGTTCATATTCACAAAGATTGACTCCACAATAATTTTAATATATATTTTAAAAGAAAATGAGAATAATGATGCAACAAAAATCCATATCAAATAAAAAAATGATTAACTAACTATAATAAGATATACTTTCCAGATCGTTCATCCCTCCTGTGGCTCAACAGGTGGTGTTGACAATATGAATAACGTATTAACATATTTTGCAAGCTTTTTCCTTCAGGACACGATTATTATCTGTGGGTTACCAAGTGTGACGGCCACAAGGATTCAGAGTGAAGGCAACGGTTGAGTGAAACACCCAGAAAGCTCTGGTACTAAACTATGATCCATAAGCACGATTCAAAACGTCTCCAAAACAATCCACAGTCATTGTTAGCTCTCAGTTTTCGCCTCTGTTGCCAGGAGACAGTTTTTATGTTCATCTCCCCTGATGACTGCATGTCTCCTCCTTACTGTCACTCTGCTTCTCTTGCTCTCTCTCAGTTACAGTTTCATTTGTTAAAAAGAGATTCAAATCGTCTCGTGCGATTGTTCCTGTCACTTCCTGCTCCTCTTCCTCTCCTTCCTGCCTCAAATCTGGATTCAGAGCTGGTTTTAATGAAGGCCTCGCTGTCTGTCTTCTGCAGTTATGTCCCTTTCTGTGAGGTCAAATGAGGAAGTTTAAGACATGAATTACAAACGAGAAGTGCTGGTGTGTGTGAGTGTGTGTCCTAGCATTACTATCCTTGTGGGGACCTAAATCTGTTTACACAGTCACGTGTGGGGACTCACCCCCTTTATGGGGACATAATGGAGGTCGGAATCATTTTAGGGTGAAGACTTGGTAAGGGTAAGGGTAAGTCTCCAGGAAATGCATGTAAGTCAATGTAATGTCCCCTGAAGTGATGTATACATGGTGTGTGTGTGTGTACTACTCTTCCTGGTTGGTTGACAGTAAGAACAGCTGTTCCATGTGCTCTCATGCAACCACAAACCTACTGCCCCTTCTTTTCTGTTTCTCTTTTGATACATTATTTGTCTTTTATCAACACTTCGTCACTCTTTTTTCTAGATCATTTCATGACGTCCCATTAGTTAGTATTCAACCCTCCTAACACTGGGACCTAACCCAGACGGATGACTGTGCTTTAAGAACGTGTTCCTTTAAGTCTCCAATCTCATCCTCCAGTCAGCAGAGAGACGTCTTTCTCTGGGCAGCAGCTGACAGACAACCTGAGCACAATCACATCCTGTCCAAACATGAGGCCTTTTGTCCAGCCTATTGTCCAGCCCTCAGACAAAATAACCTCCTATAGAAACACCTGCTGTACGGGGCTGCTGTTACGCCTTATACAATACCTCTTTGTCCAGAAGTAAAGGGAAGATCAAGAATGTAATCATCATTAATTCTGTAGGCTAAGATGCAGACTGAGTGCTTCAGACAATGTGTTAAGATACTTTTCACTATTTTGAATAAGAGAAAGATAATTTGAAAACACATAAAAAGGAGAGACATCCTATAACTAGATTATCTTCTTGAAACATGTGATCTAAAAATCAATACTTGAAGCAATGCAAATATACTGTATTTCCTCTTCAAGATGCACATGTTGTGCTGTTTTGCAATATGTCTTAGTATGTGCATCCTCACAAATACATGCACATTCCGGCTCTAACCTTTTTTCATGGGCATGCATGTGTTGTTTCCTTTAAATTCCATGTTTTTGTGAACATTATACTATATTATCAGTTATCTATTAGTATGAACAACACAGCTGCTAACATGTGTAGACTAATCTTTGAGAACTACGAGAAACTGCATGGGATGTCATTGTTTACTACTTTCTGGCATTTTATATACTTGATTAACTGACAAAAATAAGTGGCCGATTACTTATTTATTAAAAACAATTGTAAGTAGAAGCCCTAAGCAATACAGAAGCGTTACACACACATATTAAATACAAACTTAAGTGGCTATTAAGGCTGCTTTATCACAATGGATTCAAGGATACAGGGGGAATGCAAAGTGTGTGTGTGTGTGTGTGTGTGTGTGTGTGTGTGTGTGTGTGTGTGTGTGTGTGTGTGTGTGTGTGTGTGTGTGTGTGTGTGTGTGTGTGTGTGTGTGTGTGTGGGATTAAAGGTTCGCCCTAAAGCATCAGTTAAACCATGCAGCTCTTCATGGGTGTGTATTCAATCACAAACTGCCTTGTGGCACACACACACACACACACATGGTTGTTATGCGTTGCTTTGAGAAACTGGTTGCATATCAAACAGCACATGCCAGCAGGTCGGCCCCCCCCACAGTTAAATCTCCCGCCAACAGACCACAGAGGCTGCCATCCCACAATAACACAACCTGCATCAGGAGCCCTGCTTGATGATTCCAGATCAGTATTCACCACATCTCTCTGCCTCAAAATATGTCGGCGAGGTCACTGCTCGATATTATACTTCCTCACAAACAGATTTAGAAAAACCAGAAAGACTACATGCGACTCCTGACACGAGAGCACCCCAGGGCTCTGTGTTTGGCATCCTCTCATTCACCCGTAACGGCACCCTGGCCCGGACAGAACTCACTGTGAGGTTTACAAAACACAACACACTTTCATCCGCTTGTTGGCAAACATCAGAGACTTCAATTTCATTTAGAAAATAGCACAATATACTAACTACCCTCGTCTTCTTGTCTGCACGATGGTCAATTCTAAGTGTTGTTGGGAAAACCCTGTTGCTTTATTCTTTAACCATGTATGCACAAATGTTGGCATAAACGAACAAACCTGGTAATATAAAGGTTAGCAAAAATGTCCTTTTAATTGTAAGATAAGTTGATTAATGATTAAGATAATTTCCATATATCTTACAATAACTTGGCCACCGATAAAGATTGGGATCATGTCCATTCATCGTACAGTAAGTCTGTAACGTAGACATTTTTCAAGGTCCTTTCCATATATTTTGAATTAAGTTGTTAACAAAACTATAGTGACATGTTTAAATGTAAGACCCTCAATATGTAGCAGTACTGCAGTAGTAAACATACTTTGACGTAATATCTGTGGTGTTGAATACATGAGCACACAAGCTTTCGTTCCACATTTCCACACCACAAATGTCAAATTATATGTTCCGCATTGGCACTAAGGGTAAATCGTTTGGTGCAGAATCATCATCATATTTCCCAGAGATACAGGGATGTGAAAAGAAAGGTTAGGAAGCAGTTTAACCTCTTAAGGGAAATGATTACCTCCCCATTGCTCTCTTATAATACAAGCAATTTCACAGATTCCTGGAACATACATTACATCCCCATTATATCTGGTCCATTCGCTTTGAA